GCTAAGCGTTCTTTTACCCTCTCCTTGTCTACCCAGAGTTTCAGCTCCTCCTTCTGAAAGACAGATTCAAAAAGGGAGATAAGAAGTTCTGCTTCTCACCACAGCCTGTTAGCAGTTCACCCCTTCTTTTTCACAACTCATGTACAGGCTGTTTGCTTTTCCTTTTGTTTCTGGCACAATGGTCTTGAAGACTCCGAGTCAGAAGCTGCTGGCCTCCAAATACCAGTTGCAGGGAAATAGTGGCCAAAGTTGATGGAGCTCCAGCTTGCAAAGGCGTTTGGTTGGGGTGAGAAGCCAAAGGCTGGATTAATATGGACCTCGACCTGATCCCGCTGGGCCTTTTCTATGTTTTTAAGCCTTCTGTTTTGTGTCTCCCCCCAAATGATGTCTACTATAGTAAATGAATCACCCCAAAACAGAGAGATGTTTCCACTTTTAATTAACAGTGGCTTCTGTTTTGGGGTATTGAAGGCATTTAATGAAGGCATAAAAAAACTAACTTTAAAAAATAGTCCATTAAAAATACTGTAAAATAAAATTAACTGGAAATATAAAATATTTTACAAATACTTATTTAAAAGAAAACTGTATACAAGCAATATATACAAAAACTCTACAACAAATAACTCTTGAATTTGCATTAAGCTCCCTGCCCAGAATCTTCCAGAGGGAAAGACTGAAGTGGTCTATTGCCAAGAACACCCAAACTTTGGGTGACCAAACTGTAAAGAGATATCCATTTCTCTCTCCCGCTCCAAAAAGGCTTTAATTCTCCTTGCTGAGGTCCAGCGGGCTGCCTGCTCTCTTTCCATCTGTGCTTCTTGCTTCATCTTCTCCCGAAGGGGCCTTTGCTTCTCTGAGAGTGGTTCTGAGGCCTCCAGGTCTTGAGGTGGCGTTCTCCAAGGGATAATGTTGCCCCTTTATATGGGGGAGATGAAGAGGGATCCTGAAGCAAAGGAGAGGCTTTGATGGCTGTTGACTTTTCATTTGGCTGGATACCGGCCTAGGCCAGACTGGTTGCTTTTCTAAAAGCCTTTGTTTTCCTGGTCTTGGTGTGCAGGAGCTGAGAATCCAATGGCTTTGTGGCGGGTGGGATTGGAGCAAGGGGCGACTGCTTCCACGCTGGCTTTGGGTCTTGATCTGGCAGATCTAAAGTCAGCTGTTGAGTAGGGACAGAAATTACTGGCAGTTTCTGTCGAGGAAGACGTGAAGCTGGCTTAGGCGGCTGTTGGTCTTGAGGCTTAGGCATGGGGTAGGAAGTTAGTTTGGACAAATGGTGTGCTGGTGGCTCGGACAAAGCATTGTCTGATGGAACTGAACTGACTTTCTTTATTGCCCTAGATGAAATGTTGCTCTTCCCCAGCGAATACAACACTTGTACAGACTCCATCATTTGAAAAGCCAAGTTGGTCCTCGGGACTGGCTTCGGTGCTTCTTCTGCTTCTGTTTTGGGGTAGCGCTTTTTGCTCTTCATCCCAGATAGGCTCACGTTCATCCTGGCTTTCTCTTTATATAGTGTTTTCGACTGAATCTTCCCTAACACCGAAGAGTCTTGGCCCATCTTTAGATGTCTGGAAGTCTGGTCTCCATGCAGTTTGCTTGGCCCTTGCAGTGGAAGTTCAGGAAGGAAGGCCTTTGTGTCCTCAGGGATGGTGAGAACTTCCCAATGCATCTTTGCCTGAGTAAGAGTTGGAAGAGGTTCCAGAAGGCAAGGGATGCTTTTGGTTCTGGAGGCATCTGCTGCTGCCGTTGCACGGATTCTTTTCCAGGGCTCATCTCTCTTTTGGAGAAGCTGCTCTTTTCCCCGAGTCTCGGAGGACACGTTGCCCTTAGTGTTCTTCTGCTCCTTCTTTCGACTCATCTGCCTGTCCTCAGATTCCAAGCTGTTTCTTTCCCTGTGCAGATGAGGTGGTTTGCATATAGGTATCTCCAAGGTTATTTGGGACATTTTGGGTGAAGGCTCTTGTTCAGCTAAAGCTGTTTTCCTTTTCCCTTTCACCTTAGATAATGTAGGGTCCACTGTTGAATCTGAAGACAGAATATGGGTGGCTTGACCGCTGTGCCCTGTCATCACGCTGATCCTGGAGCTTTTACCTAAAGATGGGGGGGGACCCAGGCCTGGCAATCTTTCTTTTAGGTATTTCCCCAGGTGCCTCCTCAAAGTTCTTCAGCTTCTTCTCACCCTGTTCCTTTCACGATTGTGGGATTTCTTGTCTCCCGAGGTTTTCATAGTGGCTGCATCCTGCTTCTTTTCCTGGTGATTTCTTCCTGGGGCAACAACTCTTCCTGACATTTTGACCTTCGTTCCTAGTACAAACAAGCTATAATCAGGTCTGGTCTCCGCAGATGTTTCATCAGGCTGTTTGGTAGCAGGACGTGCAGTCAAGGAGTCTGAATGCTGGCCTCTTGTAACGTTTTTAAGGTCCTTATGAGACCTGCAGAGACCAATAACCTCTCCTTTGCCTCGTGATGTGGGCATTGGTGGTAGCTTGCTCCTTAAAGGATCCACATCAGCCTCAGTAGAGCTTGCAATTCCCAGAGTGCCAGTGGCCAAACGTGGGAGATCCTGGGACTGGTCTCCATCACGCCGGGATAAGCCAGCTCCCGCAGCATTGTCCGGAAAGAAGAATTTAGAAGGGCTTTGTTGGAACACAATGCCTTCTGCTGTCTGCATATCGACCAACTCAATCAGGACCTCTTGTTGCACGTGAAATTCATCGATGTAAGCCAGTAACAGAGTTCCTTCATTTTCTGAGCAAGAAGGAGATGGGTAATGTTTCTTCTCGGGCTCAGCTTGAACATCCATCTCTGAAAGAAAGGAAAAATGGAACCTATGACTGGAGGACCCCAAATTTCTTCTAGTTGGCTGAGACAAAATGTGAACTACTCTTAGGTCCCCATACTTCTCTCACCTCCACATTTGCCCCTGCTCGACTATGAAAGAAGGAAACAAAGGACTGTGTGCAGCCTCTGAAGACCTTTTCTCCAAGTAGCAACTTCCTTCTTGGTTCATAGCATCATAACAGGCAATCTGCAACCTACAAGCTTGGAAAACTTTGCAGAACTGGCCCAAGGGGGGAACACGAGGCCAGTAAGGACTGGCAGGAATGAAGCAGAGATTACTTTGGAGAACATCCGGGGGGATCATCAGGATGAAGAGGTGCTTCTTTCACCAACCTCTCGCAAATGTTCAGAGATGTGGTCTCATCATCTCTGGGAGTAATCCAATTGCCATGGTACAGGACAGCATGGCTCCCTTCCCTCCCTTGAGGCCGACTGCTGTGTGCCAGTGAACCTCAGTCAGCAACTGATCAGGTATGCCCAGTCAGGCTGGACTCACCTGGCAGACTGAAAATGGGCGAGTGGTTCCCCAGGTTCCCTCCTCAAATACCAGGAACCACGCTGGAAGGCAGCTTCTTAATCACTCACCTTCTCCGTTAAGATGTAAA